ACACACACACACACACACACACACACACACACACACACACACACACCCCTACACACACACGATGGAACCTATTATACTATGAAAATACTTAGCCATATTATACTTTCAGGCAAAAAAAAACCATCATTAGGGATAAAAAGGTCACTATCAGGCCACTTGATATACTAATTCTAAACTCACATATACTTAATGCTTAAATTCACAAAGAGATAAAAGGAGTTTTTCAGAGAAATTCTGTTACACTGATTACTTCTCTTCTTATGTTTGCTATTCATTATCTGCATAATTCTTTCTTTTATGCATATAGCCAAATAACATCATTGAAACTCCACCCCCATTCCACCAAGTCAAAGTGAATTCTCTCATGTATGAAATTTAACAAACCAAACAGGTTTCACATTAAGATATTTTAAAACAGTGACCTCTTTATAAATAGGCAAGACTAAGAAGATATCATACAGATCACACATTTCCTTAACTAGCTAAGTGCTCTGTTTAGAGGGCAGACAATGCACCAAAAAAAAGTCCAAAAAATGTGCTAAGACAGCTGATTCTGGAGCAAGGCTGCCTAGGTTTAGCCTACTTAACATCTGTGTGGCTTAAAATGTTAATCTCTTAGTTTTCTCATTTCTTAAATAGTATGTGGGTGGAGATAAAATAACAGTACCTACCTCACTGTGTTGCTGTGAGCATTAAATAACCCACATAAAGCATAAAAAAAAGTTAAGACACATAGTGCTCAAAATAATTTAATTTTTGCGACTTACTGGGTAAGGGGACTGCAAAAACTTTTTAAATTCTAAATATTAATCTTCCAAAATAAAATTTTAAACACTAAGAAAGCATTTTAAAATGTAAAAACTTAATAACACTGACCAATGGATTAAATATATAAATTTTAAGTATTGATTGTAATAAAGGGATTTTTTAATGAATTTACTAAATGAATTTACTTGACAGTTATGTGCCATGCACCTAAAGAACACATGGATAAAGATTAGTTTTATACTTGAAAAGCTGTTTCTTATGGTGGAAACAAACAAATCTGTTAAATTAATAGATACACGGATTTTTATACATTAGGAATTATTCCAATGAATGGAAAGTTCTTACAAATCTTATAAATCACACTCATGACCAATTTCAAACCCAATACCAATTTTCAGTGAAATGAACATAATCACTATGCAATACTTTAGTATTCTTTAATAATTTTGAAGCCCCTTTAAGATACTATACTATCCTAGAATCATTTTTAAAAATCAATAACAAACTGTAGATAGATATATAAGTTTATATGTTAAAACCATGACATCAATATGGGAACAAAACAAAACAAATACATTGTAAAACAGTACTCTGTTTTAAAGAAATCATATAGTAATTGTACATATGGTCCATCAGTCCTACTTCTAGAAATTTACCCTGAAACACCTCTAATAAAACAAAAATGCACATAGACAGTTATTCATCGCATCATTATACATAACTGCAAAATATCAGAGACAACCTAAATCCTCATACGTAGAAAAGTGGCTGAAAAAAACTATCACCTGCACCACGTAGTACTATTAAAAAAAAAAAATCTCTATAAACTGATACAGAAAAATTGTAAGGACACAGTATTAATTGAAAATATTAAAACGCAATGGAAAATGTCATACTTCATGTAAGAAAAAAAAGGCACATAAGAAAATACAATATTTTCTATTTGCTATCTGTACAGAAGAAATATAAAAAGGCTAAACCAGAAACTAAAATCACTGGTTATTTATAGTAGGTTGGTGGGGATTTGTACAAAAGAAATACAGAATGGTTAAACAAGAAACTAGAGATTGGTTACCTACAGTGGTCAGGTGGCAAAGTGATAGAAAGAAGCTGAGAACGGAAATGGGGCAGAAGGAATGAGGAGGGCTGACACTTTTCACATAGCTCAGACGCTTAGAAGAATTCAGGTTTCTCAAACCCCCAAAATAAATAATTAAGTCAACCAGGATGTGGAGTGAACACAAACAGCAACAAATGGACCTAAGTACAATACAAATGAATAACAACACAATGAAGAGGGCAGGAAAGAAAACAACTAACCTAAGTAACTCTGAAAAAGTTTTCTGACTGATAAAAAGAGGCAAAAGACAACAAGAAAGTGCATGTAAGTAGTGAAATATAGTTAATAAATGTGTCTCTCTTGGGGACGTGAATTAGTACTTCTGAAACTACATGTGTATTAGACAGAAAAAAACAGTAAGTAAATATATTATAGATAAGAAACAGGCTTCTCATCGTTGAAGAAAGTAACAAATAATGAAAAAGAGAAATGACTCCTGTGGTATTAAATTAGAATCAGAAGTATCAGTGCTATTCGTACAGAAGAAATATAAAAAGGCTAAACCAGAAACTTTTGATAAGCATAGACAGAAAGGTATATAAATGTGTCAGTACATATATTTAGTGTACGTACATATATTTCCTAGTTCTACTTGCTGAAAATGTCAAGAAGCAATGATGCCCAGCTGCAATAAGCACACTTAGATGGGCAGATGTTGGTTTCTAAACACCATTCTCCAATTAAAGGAACCAGAACGCCTTGAAGAAGTGGTTATTTCCAGGGCTAGGACAGAAAACAATGCAAGATGAGCCTGCAACATTTTGTGGTATCAAAGAATAATAAAGAATGTTCAAAGAAAAATGAATTTGTTGAAAGAGCTCAGAAGCCAACTCAAAGGAGTTCCTAATGGCCAAATGTACAACAATTTGAGCAATAAAACAATGACCAAAGATAAAATAAGATAAAGTAATACCCACAAGATAAAATAATACCCAGGAGTCCACAGTGATATAAATAATCAAATAAAATAAATAAAAGGAGGGGAAATAGAGGCACAGCTTTTATTACAGAAGAATTCCAAGAAATAAATGTAGAAGGAAAAGGCGAAATGGAAAATCACCTTTAGGCAAACACCACTGTGATAACTGTTACAGACAATATCAACCAATAAATGCAAATTTGCATAGTCTCAATGTATCTCCAAGATATTTATTACCTACAAAGGGAAACACAGTAACTTCACAGTGGAAATACCTGTCAGACACCACCTTAACCAAATGATCAAGGCTAACACACCACAATAAGGAACTTAATGATACACTTAGAATGTACCTCTTGATATATTTCTACGATATCCTTATCAAAGTTACAAAATCTCATTCTAACCGTGTGTATATCAAACAAACCCAACTTAGGAACATACTACAAAATACCTGGGCAAGTACTCTTCAAAAATGTGAAAGTCAAGGAAAAACTGAAGAACTGTCAGAGATTGGAAGAGACTAAACAGCAATAAGAGCAAATAAATGCAAGATGGGGTCATAGATAGGATCCTGGAACAAAAAAAAAATTAGTAAAACAGCTGGTGAAATTTAAGATCTGTAGTTTTGTTAACACTATCCCACCAATGTAAAATTGGTTTTGGTAATTATGTTATGATTCTATGTAATAACATTAGAGAAGGCTATATGAGAGGGTATATGGGAATTCTCAGTACTGTTTCTGTACAATTGTTCTGTAAGACTAAAATTAGTTCAAAAACAAAAGTTCAAAGTTGAAAGTAATATAGACTACACAGACAACAGACTAAAAAATCAAGTTTATAAACATGAAAAATTAAAAACAGTACTCTTGAAATTACATGTTTGTTAAGAAAACCAAAATAGTTCTGCAATAAAGTTTGTTCTGGGAGAAAAATTTAGCACAGAAAAGCTCTTGTGAATAGCAGCTCCAAATGGGAGTTTGTGTGTGTGCCCGCACATGCGTGCACGTGTGTGTGTGTGTGTGTGTGTGTGTGTGTGTATGTGTATGTGTGTGTGTGTGTGTACACATTTTTTGTTTGATTTTGGTGGGAAGCGGGAGAGGAACTGAAATAAAAAGTTTTTAACTACAAAATGTATGTATAATTGATCACAATTTACTAAAGAACAAACCTACATTTTTAGGCAATCTTTCAAACTTGGTCTTCTGTTCTGAATTTTATCCATTAACTAGTAGGATTCAAGCTCACCCCCTTACCATTAAAATACATATTCATAAAACTTTTACAGTTGTGCTGTTCTAGTTACAAATAGCTTCTACTTTTCTAGGACATAATTTCACTTTGTTTAAGCAAGAATTCATTAAAGAAGCTATAAATAACCTTTAAATATTTAGCCATGAATAGAGGGTGGACTGGCATTGATGGCTTATTTTAGTACTAATGCAGAATGCTTTTTAAAAGCCACCGTTTAGTATGCATCAAGCTAATGATTAACTTGCAGTATAATTTTCAATGTTAGAATAAATTTATCCTTATTTTAAGGAGTTCTTCTAAAAGTAAATATGTTATTTCAGTTACATACTAGTATGAAAACTGCCTTAAAGAATAAAACTGTTGGGAAGACTAAATTGCAAAAATTTTTTATTTTTAAAAATCTATTTCTATTTTTAGTGCCTAGACTTTTCCTTCTCTAAAAACACAATCCCAGTGAAAGTATACAAACTAAAGGATAAAAAGAGCCTATGAAATTGTAAGAATCCAAGGATCTATTGTGTGTTGCATACGCAAATATATGAATCAAAGAAATATCAAAATTTTGAATCAAAGTTCACAACATTTTTGAGACCAAGTTTCATAAAATTTTTACTTGAAAAAAAAAGTTTTACAAAATATCATTCTTCCAAACAAAGAAACTTTCCCATAGAAGACATGTAGTTTTCTGCCTTAAAGATTACAGTATGACAGTCGGTGGGGAGAGCTTGTTTAAGCAGCCACCCCACTGAAAAATCTACCAGAAGTAGATTTTTTTTAAAGTACCTTTAAAATGTGAAAGCGAATAATATAATGGTTGAATCTACTTGAAATTTTAAAATTTTCTTTAAAATGGTCCATATGGTATGCACAACATCACAGCTGGTACAAAACTGCCTGTATTTAGTTTGAAACACAAAAACAATGCATATGAACAGTATTCTTTGAAAATTAATTCAAAATGCTGCCACTGCATCATAAGGCAAACTTAGAGAAGAGTGTTGACAGTATTCAGAGAATTAACAAAACAAGCTATTAAAGTATTCAAACAGTTACTTTGATTTTGTTTTATACCACTGATAAGGGTAAAAGAATGTTTTGCCAAACCAACACAGGATGCCTTACTGCAAGTTACATGTAATGTTTTACTATATATACTCCAAACAAATGCACAACTAGATTTTAGGATGTAAATTTTCATTTTCCAGGGAGGGCCTAGATTTTCTGTTGCAATCTGGCAGCTTTAAACTTTGAAACCCTCTTTACAGTTTCTTCTGATGCTTCTGACAGAATTTCTTTTCGTTCTGGAATGGTGGGCAGCATAGGATGAGCAATGGATGGGTGTGGTGTCAAGGAGGGTGATAAAAACTCTTTTTCTATTACAGTTCCAGAAAAAGCCTATGAAGACAAAAGTCGGGTTATGGAAAATTTTAAAAAGAATGCAAATATGACACCTACAAAATCTTTATTCTCTATGCACCAACTAAATATTTATTTTCATTAATAAGTAAATTCACAAAACTCTTGGCGAGACAACACTACAACATCAAAATACTAAGTGTTCAGAGAAACCAAGCACTACTAAAAAATTTTTAATTGCACCGTCAAATGTAGTATTTTTATAGTACACATGCAAGAAAAAATTGTAAAACGTGTATTTTATCTAGGAAAAAATAGAAGTGGATAAATAAGAGGTTTTCAAACTTTCATACATTTCATTCATGTCCAACCCTGCTTTGAAAAATAGCATATTAAAACAAAAAATGCTATTAGGGTGTCCAATTTAGACTTTTGTACATCAGTTGATGAATGAGCTATCCTACAGTGGCCATGCTGCCTGCAAGCCAATAGCTTAGTTTCACTAGTATTGACATCTTTTTGGTGGTGTTCTTTTATGCAATTATGTTTATATTTTATTGCATCTTGCCTCAATTTTATGTAAGAGATCAGTGGAAAGTGAAAAGTAAAAGTGTTGATACTAGTGGAAATAAGCATAGGTTTCAAAATTGTATTATCATTAATCAATGATGGAAATCAGAACTTCTATTAAAAATGACTAATTTTAACTGGATGTTTGCTGTGATTAATCTGAGTAACTGTATGTTCAACTAGAACAAAATTAAATAATGTGTATACTTTGCTGGAAATATCTTTTTAAAATATAAAAATATATAAAAACCAGTAAGTTGTGATGCTTTTTTTGAAGATTCCTGTTATTTGGAATCTCCCTCCTTACATCTTCTAAGAAATTATTATATACAAACTAAAGTTTGACACATAAGCTTTCTTTTTGTTTTTTGAGTTGGAGTCTCACTCTGTCGCCCAGACTGGAGTGCAGTGGCTGCTCCTCGCCACTGCAGCCTTGACCTGCTGGGCTCCGGCGATCCTTCTGCCTCAGCCTTCCAAATAGCTGGAACTACAGGCGCGCGCTACCACGCCCGGCTAATTTTTTGATTTATTGTAGAGATGGGGTCTCGCCAAGTTGCCCAGGTGGGTCTTGAATCCGTGGGCTCAGGCAATCCACTCACCTCAGCCTTCCAAGGTGCGGGATTACAGGCTGAGCCACCGAGCCCAGCTGACACATAAGCTTTCATGCAGAGTTTGCTTCCTCTATCTACCAAATGCTCACAATTAGTAGACAGTGTGTCACCTGAATAATTTAAAAACCCACCCTCCTCCACCTTGCACCACTACTGGGGATAAAACAAAGAATGCTATTTCCCTCCCACAGTATTTTTGGAGTCCAGTTCTTAAAAGAAGCTCAAAGCTTACTTTTCGAAAAACTCTACTTTATCATGCTGAACACAGAGCTGCCTTCTTACATTTAAAAATGCTTTTGAAAACCAGATAATATTTTAGCATTTAAAAGGTATTGAAAAGAGTATCTTTTAAAGTACTTACCATAATCATGAAATATTTCTTTGATGTTAAAAAATTTATAGTAACTACTGTAACAGTTCAGTACAAAATGCAAAGGTGACATGAAAATATGTTCCACATTCTAACTCTAGCTATACCGTGATACAATAAGCACTTACAAAAAATTAATTTTCAAATATTTAGAGCAAAAGTCTACACCCATTACCTATTTTCAAATAGTACAGAAGACGATTAACTCTTTGCACTCAGAGACTCTCATGGATCACCTGCCAGCAACTCAGTCACACTTTTTTACACAATATTGAAAAATTAATCACTTCATATTAAATAGTATAGCACTGGAACCAATTATTTTATTGTAATGATCATGGCTTATAATAAAATTCTGGACACTGAGGAACTTATTTATGACAAAAAAAATCAAAATTTCATATCTTATGGTTTTTCTAACATGTGAAATAGTCACCAACATGCAATGTAGATTCTTTGATACATGTTGTGCAATAGTAATTTGTTTGATGTCTTTCACCTAGTGTTTTTCTATTCGAGCGGACAATGTAGTCTTGTTTTCTTCCTCCCTCATTAATAACATGCAATTTATTGTCTTTGAACAACAGTCTGTTGTTCAAAGATGATGTTCAAAGGATGTACTCATGATTCCTGAAAACCACTTCTCAACTGATCAGTCATATCTCAGGATATATTCCATCTCTCTCTCTCTTTTTTTTTTTGAGTCAGAGTCTCACTCTGCTGCCCAGGCTAGAGTGCAGTGGCACACTCACGGTCATCACAGCCTTGACCTGCTGGGCCTAGGCAATCCTTCCACCTCAGTCTTCCAGGTAGTTAGAAGTACAGGCGCACACTATCACACCTGGCTAATTTTTTATTTACTGTAGAGATGAAGTCTTACCAAGTTGCCCAGGCTGGTCTCAAACTGCTGGACTCAGGCAATCCTCTCGCCTCGGCTTCCCAAAGTGCTGGGATTACAGGATTGAGCTACTGCAGCTGGCCTATCTCTCTTTATTTGCTTTTTTTGTGCAATTTGAATGGAAAACTTCAAGGAAACACACAGTTTTGAAAAATTTGTGTTGGCATGCTTGTCCTATATAATCACTAGCAATATCTTTAAGTCCCCTGAGAGGAGACATCCAAGTGGTTTGCTAGATTTACAATATCCCCTCAGAGGGGACATCTGAGTGCAAAGAGTTAAATAAGGTAAGATACTTTCCAGGTCACATAAGATCATTACACTGGGAGGAGGAGAGGAAAACTTTCTAATCATACATACTGTCCCTAAATGCTAATGATATCCACACCTATTTACCATTTAGTCCATTTAGTACAATGAGCACCATTTAGTACAAGCAATGGAATTTTTACATGTGGTTATTTATATATAATATAAATATAAGTGTATTTATATTTATGTGTATTTCATTGTATATACAAATGTGTACATTGGTTTGATACAGGTATAAGTTCTCCAATCTTCCCAAATAACTTTTTAAATTTAAAACTTCAAATACTCACCAAAACACAAGAATTTTTTAAAAAATCAAGTCTGGGTATAATGGAAACCACAATCATATATTTCAAAAACACAAATTCTTATTTAGGGATTTCCCAATTTCCCCCTTCTCCCAAAAAGTGTATACAATGTGATGCGTTAAAGTATATGAGTGTGCACTAACTGAAAGCCTACAGTTTTCATCAGAACACACACACACACACACACGTGTGTGTGTGTGTGTGTGTGTGTGTGTGTGTGTGTGTATTTTTTAAACTCAACCAAAACATTTAAAAGGGAACAGTGCAATCTGCTGCTGAGACAACCAGCAAATTACAATAAGGTAGTCTACTGGTAATTTACTTAAAACAAATCACTAAATAACTTTCTAGTCAAAAATGTAACACATGTGCCAATTAAAGTATTTTAAAATTCCCACTTCACAGAAATAAACTACAAGACATAACTTTTACTAAAAAAATTTTTGAACTATTTGCCTATCACAATACCTGTACTGTGTTTGCTAGTGAGCATTCATTTTTACAAATCAGCAATAATCAAGAACATACACACCTAGAATTAATGAAATTTTATGGCTTTTCGAATTTAAAGAGCAAAAACTTATCAAACATCAATTCTTTATACAAAATAAAGAATTAAAGATGCACACACACCTCAGGTGCTCCTGACAAGGACAAAAGTCTCTTTTGATGATTTTCCTGTGGCTCCTCTTCCAAAATGCTCTCACTGGTGTCCCTGTGAATGGCTTCTTCACAGCTGATACTCCTCAAAACTCCTCGTCTGTCATCAAATTCAGCAGCACTGCTTTCACTGGTATCACTACAAACACTGTTCTCTCTACTTCGAGACTTCAAGATTGATTTACGAGGGACATATTCTCCATTCACAACATCAACAAAGACTCTATGATATTAAAAAAAATATGCATTCACTTTAAGTAACTCATAAAACTGAGAATAACTTTATAAAGATTTCTTTAATCTCCTCTAGAAATTAATCTGAAAATTTTTATTAAAATGTTATCTAAAATTTTCACATTCACAAAACTTTGTAGTCTCTGATGACAAACATATTCTGATGATTTATTTCACCTACTAAAATACAGCACATTATTTTTAGCATAATCTAGGTGATAACAGCTTGGTCTAGCAAAATTCCACATTAAGTTTTAAAGATTCATTTATGAGACATTTAGCAATTTTCACTGTTTTACAAATATGGGTCATGAGAACAGTAGGTATTTTCAAATGATGGCTTTCTCAAAAAATAATACAACAAAAAAACTGAAATAGTATAATTAAAACTGAAATAGTATAATTAAAGTTCTACTCTGAAAAAGTAAACTGCAAGCCAAGTACTTTATAGCTGTGGTAGGTAAATACTGCCTTAGCCCATTAGAAACAAAAACTTTCATTCCTAAAGTTAAAACAGAAGATTTTCTGACTAGATCAATTGGGGATGTTTTAAAAGCACTGGTGAAGAGGGGAAAGGGGAAAAAAATACATTACAAATGCTTTGAATTGGAAAGTTGTGGCAGCTCAGCTTTTCAAATATTAAGTTAACTCCATCAGAATACTTCACTCATCAGTGAGAGTCTTCTGTGTTACAGACAATTTTTTTCCTGTATAGGTTGAGTTGCAAAAAGATGGAAGGGACCAACAGACAGCCTGGTAGTCTATAAACATCACTCACCTGTAAATGTCAGCAGGGGTCCTGATCGTAGGCAGCTCATGGGCAGAGTGGCTGCTGCTAGTACTATTCTTTCGTTTACGTTTGGCTTCTTCTTTCTTTTCACTGAATTTTAAAGTGGTATTTTTTCCAGTATTTATTCGAACCTAAAAGTGTCAGAGCAAAAAATTAGGAAACTAAATGTACAAAACTAAATCAAAGCCAAAACCAAAACAAAACTCTACAATTAAAGAAATAATAGTAAGAGAGAAAAGTTGAAGTTTCCTGACATTTAAAAGATATGTATTATCAGGGAAGGTATAAAAAAGTCCTTACCTTACATTTCTATGACATTTTGACAAAATCTTCTTTAATAATTATAGTCTTCAATGTCTTTATTATTATAGAAAGAGAAATACATCTAAACTAAATAATAGATTTGTCACAAGTTCACATAACCCTATTTCAAGTTTTTGGCTTGAATCATGCATTCAAAACAAAGTGCAGTTACACACACACAAAAAATACTTAGTAAGAATGCAATATTTAGCCGGGCTCGGTGGCGCAGCCTGTAATCCCGTGCCTTTGGGAGGCTGAGGTGAGTGGACTGCCTGAGCCCGCGGGTTTGAGACCCGCCTGGGCAGCGAGACCTCATCTCTACAATAAATCAAAAAATCAGCCGGGCGTGGTAGCACATGCCTGTAATTCCGGCTACTTGGAAGGTTGAGGTGAAGGATCACCGGAGCCCAGCAGGTCGAGGCTGTGGTGGCCGGGAGCGGCCACTGCACTCCAGTCTAGGCGACCTAGTGAGACTCCAACTCAAAAAAAAAAAATGTAATATTTAAGTCATAAAACTAGTATTAGATAAGTTCAACTATTCAAAAATGTTTAAATACCTCTGATCTTTAGAAACTGAAGGACTAAAAAATAAAAACCAATCCTGTTCAGGATTAATATATTATTCTTCTCTCCCTACCAGCATTACACCATACTTTCCATATTAATGAATGCCCTTCCCCATAACACTCCTGCAAGTTTTACTTATTCTTCCTGTTTTATCTAAATGAAAATAAGAAAAAAATTAAACGCCTGGCAGAAGAATCACAAAACAAACTTCTGGCTGGTCATCTAGGTCAACTTTATCCAAAGAATTCAGGAGAAAATTCGTCTAGTTTTAGTTTGACAAATTAGAATTTAAAAAAAAAAACATATATATGTATACATAATTGTTTCATTTCACACTAGAGCAAGGATAACTTATGGAAGCCAAAAAAATATCAAACATGTTTTAAACATGTTTCATTAAATAATAATCACATACACTTAAGACTGATACCACAGACACCAAACTCTGATGCGGGCAATTGAGATACTGTGTATAAACAAGAGTACTAAACTGAGACAAAGGTGTCCCTGTTTTATTACTAATCAGCTTTATGTCTTCTAGGCCTTACGTTTCCCTGAGAAAGACGAATTAGAAAGATGAATTCCCACTGTCTTCTTAGAGGAATATATGGAGCAGAGAGAGGGCAAGAGAGGATTTAAGACAGCCAGCCCATCTTTCAACCAGAGACAACCTGCTGTGATCTATTTTAAATATGAGCATTCTACAATAAGTATGGAGGGAACAAAAGGCTTTTGATACTAAAGAAATGCTCAAAAACCCTGTATTAAAAAATCTCTACAGTCACCCCTCACTCTAAATTGCCAAAATTCTAAAGTCATGATTATCCACAGATGTTTATATTTACTTTGTCAGAAAAGAAACTAATTTTTACTTCCTCCTAAATTTTTCCTTTGTGCTCATGATGTTCCTATTCATTTTATGTTCACATAGAACACCACAACATAGTATAATTAAAAATTTAACTAATGCAGTCACTTTCAACATCCTAAGTACACCAAAATGCCCACAAATATAATTAACTCCAGGATTCCTGAGAAAATTCTCTGGATGAAGGACAGGTGAAGTTACAGTAGTTGCCACTAAAATCTGATCCCTTTCCAGACCACAAACAATGCATTGTTTCAGAGAACAATGGACCAATACCAGCTACCTAGGTTTTGTTCCTTTTTCTTTTTAGATAAATTGGTTCGAACAAAAGGCAGCATATGATTTTCCTGTTTGGCACTACCAACAGTATTAACGACTGCTAATATTGTTCTTTTGAAAAAGATTGCGGATTACATATAATGCTCAAATTACATGCCAAATTAGTAAAGTCAAAAATATACAAACCCTCTTAGGTCCGACAGTATGAGAAAAATATATGGTTGGTACAGAGTGATCTCCAGCCCCTAAAGCATCAGGGTCTTTACCACCACCACCGTCTTCGTCCTCATCAGCATCATCATCATCTTCGTTACAGTGGTAAGAATTCGAGCCATTCACTGAACAGGCCAACTGACTGGTCACCTGACCATTGAACAGTTCTGAGCTTGTAACGTCTTTAGGACAACTGCTGGGAGGAAGAGAGTCTGCTTCTTGACGCGTCATGTTCCCATTTGTGTTATGAGCTTCCTCTTCAGAAGACGCTGTATCCTCTCCATTTGTAATCCCAGTAACAGGCTTACTACAAAGAAAAAGAAAATTAACAAGATTAAACAAACATACTAGAATTGTACATTAATTTTACTTCCAGTTCATTTACATGGATAAATATTAAGACTGTGAATAAGGTATTTTTTTAAACTAGCATTCTAGAATAGTAAAGAAAAAAAGTTTTGAAGTAAATTGACAGAAAACATTAATTCCCATCCCACTTCTGCACACTGCAGTTATTCCAACAGGAGTAGAATATAGAAGAAAAAATATTTTATTTTTACGAGAAAGGTATTGGTCACACACAATATAAATATAGTACCAGTAATACAATAAGAAACGTATAAGATATTCAGAGATTATGTATTTCTGTTTAAAGACCAGAAATTAAAGTCACTAATATTTTCTATTTCTATACTCAGAATACTTTATAAGCATGTATAACTTAAAAATAAGATTTATACATATGCACATGAATATAATTGCATTTACACCCATGAAAGTACATTTATCATGCTTCATTCTCACAAATATAACAAAACCAAAAATGCAACAGAACTAAATATCACAAAAAAATAGAAAGAGAAACATGACCCCCCCAAAAAATTCACAAGATCCAAAACTGATTTTAAAAAATGAAATAGTATTAGTTAACCAAAAAGACCTAAGAATTTAGAAGTGAAATGGAGGAGAAGAAAAATATTGTGCCTCCTGTCCTATTTTTCACAGAAACTAATTGCTGCATATGGTATATCATTTAAGCAAAATAATATAGGAACGTCTGTAGTAGCAGACTTCATTTAGCATTTTAACAATTCTAAGTGTATGCTAATGTGTATTTCAAACAGCAGTTTGGTAAAGTTTCTCATACAAATAACTATCTGACCAGATTACAAATTACCTGCTCCAAAGTTTACAAAAGGAAAGTAAGAACAAACATCTTACAGTATCAAGCTTAAACTCAAAGCAAACTTTTCTTTTAAGCAAGGTATTCAAAGATAAAAATGCTTCATTTAAAATTTAACATTATATATATATTAAACCCTAATTATTAAAAGTCAACTATCTGATATAATTACTATATAAAATATGGCTGAAATCATACAATTTTTAAAAAATGCTGACCTTAAGTAGTTATGTACATAACACATGCATGGGCTATGCAAGAATACTCAGTCCTAAAAGAAAATATTCTAAAAAGTTAATATTCATCTTGGGGGGAAGGGTTATTCATAACATATCATGCTTTTCTGCATTTTCATCAATGAGCACATAGCATTTTTTTTAATAAAGAAAAGATTAATGTGGAAATGTGTATAGATAACAAATTCTCTTGGAAAGATAGTTTGTCATTAAGTACCTATCAAGTTCACCCAGCAATTCTTCTTGTCTCTCTAGTTCTTCAAGTCGAGTCCACAGTTCCTTATCAGCAAGCAAGTCCTTGGTTTTTACATCATTTGCAATATCTGCTTCAAAAATATCTGAAGTTTTTGGTTTGGAATGAGGTTTATGAGCAATGCGGTGTTTTACTGTTTACAAAAAGGAAAGACATGGCTGTTAACAGCCAACATAAAAAAGGCATAAATCTAGATTTAATGAGACTTTCTTCTGGGACAATGGGGATGATGAGACACAAGGGATATAGTTTTTAAGCCAAACAGGAGAATTCCAAAAATGAATGTCTCTTGCATTCTTGCTACTCAAAGTCTGGTCCATGGACCAGCAGCCCTGGCATCTCTGGAAACACTTCAGAAGTGTAGACATTTAGGGATGCCCAGACAGCTGAATCAGAATCTATATTTTCAACAACAGCCCCAGAGAATTCACATGCACATTGAAGACTGTGAAGCAGAGCTTCAAAAATGCATAAGCAGAAAAAAACCACAATGCACCCTGGTTATAACACAAAATTCAACAAGTAAATGATAAACTGCCATTTGCCATCCTTACTCAAGAAAATTTAGTTACTAAAGTAACACACTTTAAAAGCCTTGTCACAGGATACTTTAAACTCTAAGGCATGGTCAGGAATGAGTAACCTAGGAGGAAATGATAAAGACTAATCTCTGTAAAGATCTACTACAATTTTATATACAAATATCTCTACTCTTTAAATTGCCTTATTTTATTTGTAGTTTCATGTGAGGGAAGGAGATGGATCAAATATGAACTTAAACATATCTGCTTTTCATTTTAAAAAACACATTATTTTTAATAAAGCAAGTAAGTCTATCATATATGAAAATTTGCAGCACTGTAGTCTAAATTTGAAAATATCAAAATTATGTTTCATAGCCATAGTCTCTTTAACTATTGTTATT